TTTTTTTAAAGTTATTTTATTGTACTTCTAACTTTTCTGTAAGTTTGTTATTGTTAACAAAACAAAACAACATAATAAAAGGGTGCGTAAAGAATAAGGAAGGAGAGAGTGGCCAGAATTGAGGGACTACCATCTGCAGAGAAAGAAGTGAGAGGTTCAAGTAGGAAGGAAAATTCAACAAGATGGCGAATGACTGTTTAATCCCAAGGAAGATCAAAAGGCGGCTACTGAGCCACATAACCATCTAGGTGTCTGCCTTTCTCACATTCTGATACGCTTACTCTCTTGCACTTCTTTTTCCCATCTCTTGGTAGGAGATAAGAACACATGGCTAAAATGACCTTTTGAACAACTTCTCAGGTAGATTAGCCCTCAGTCTTCCTCTTTTTCCAGTTTTACTCATATACATAAGAATGAAGTGACAATTAACTGCTCATTAATATGTTTTCTTGAATTTGAGGATCCAAACAGCAATAATTATTCTAAGGGGAATAATTTTACCATCAGAAAACAAATGGCTTATATTTTAGATTAGCTACTTGTCTTAGAAAATGGAACACAAATAATTAAGATATGCAATATACATATATCAAATGAGGTAAAATTTATATAAGAAAAAGCTTGAAGCCCCCCCCAACACAAAAGCTTGTTTTTTTTATTTTAATGAAAAAAAAGTATAAAACATTATTAGCCATCTACCCCAACTACCTTATTCTAGTACACAAAATATGTCATATAAACTAACTTTTAATGATTATGTTCTACTTATAAAAATAATTGTTTTAATCATATGATTGTGTTTTTAATAAATACAATTATCACATACTGGGCTATAACCTTTATGATCATCTTAACTTTAATTCATAGATTGACTTTGAACTGCATACTGTAGCTTTTACAAACTTTCAGGGTGGCATGGTGATACAAATAGAGATGAACAAAAGTTTTAGAGCTTTCTGCTCCTGCAGAACGTGTCTCTGGAGTGCAAAGGTATTAACATATTTTCTATCAGTACCATCATATAGTGGAGTACTTACTATATACAAAGGATATTTTCATTCACTAAATGTTTACAGAATACCAGCTATGTATCCAAGGTATTGGTCTCTTCACTGAGGAGAGATAATTTTATCCACCTTCATAAAATTTATAATCTAGTGGATGAAACTGTATGTTTCTTGTCTGTGTGTCTGTTACTCAAGATGTTAATGACTAAGTGGCAGGACATCCAAATAATAGATAATGGTGAAATACAGTAATAGACTGGAAGGGATGGAGGACTTTAACAACATTCAGTTCTTATTCATCTCAAGATCCACTTTTAAGTAAGAATTGCAATTGCTCAGTCTTATTCAAGTAGCTCTGCTATAACAAAACACCATAAACTGGGTGGCTTAAACAGCAGAAATTTGTTTCTCAGTTTTAGAGCCTAGAAAGTTCAAGAGCAAAGTGCCAGCCAGCAGATCCAGTGATTGCTGAGGGCTTTCTTCCTAGTTTGCAGATGGATGTCTTCTCCTCGTGTCCTCCCATGAGAGAGGGCTGGCTCTCTTCCTAATCCCATCATTAGGATTCCACTCTCATGACCTAATCCCTCCCTCATGGCTGCACTTCCTAATACCATCTCAATGAAGGTTAGGGTTTCAACTATGAATTTGGGGGAACAGAAACATTCAGTCCATAACATTTACTGTCTCCAGAGAGTTCACACTCCCCTGCCCTCCTCTGTAATCCAGTTTGTCCTGTTGGGAGGCATGAATGATCTTTGCATAGAACTCATTCA